GCTCACCGCAACCTCCGCCTCCTGGGTTCAGGCAATTCTCCTGCCTCAGCCTCCTGAGTAGCTGGGATTACAGGCACGCGCCACCATGCCCAGCTGATTTTTTGTATTTTTAGTAGAGACGGGGTTTCACCATGTTGACCAGGATGGTCTCGATCTCTTGACCTCGTGATCCACCTGCCTCGGCCTCCCAAAGTGCTGGGATTACAGGCGTGAGCCACCACGCCCGGCCCTAATGTAATTTTTACTGATTTTTCAGGTACATACTGACTCCTTTCTAAACCTCCCGCTTTAGAGAAATTTTTAAAAGGTGGTACCAATGAGTTATGTCTGGGATTTCCTTCAGCAAATTGGGAATCACAGCACAGTTTGTTGCATTCAACAAGTACTTTTTTTTTTTTTTTTGAGGCGGAGTCTTGCTCTGTCACCAGGCTGGAGTGCAGTGGTGTGATCTTGGCTCACTGCAACTTCCACCTCCCGGGTACAAGCCATTCTCCTGCCTCAGCCTCCCGAGTAGCTGGGACAACAGGTAGCTGAGACACCACCATACTTGACTAATTTTTGTATTTTTAGTAGAGACGGGGTTTCACCATGTTGGTCAGGATAGTCTTGATCTCTTGACCTCATGATCCACCCGCCTCTGCCTCCCAAAGTGCTGGGATTACAGGCGTGAGCCACCATGCCCAGCTTCAACAAGTACTTTTAAGGCAACTGCTATGTCCTTGGACCCTGCTTTGTGATGTGGGGAGTAGAAGAAATACTAGAGGCAACCCTTGCCTTAGAGGAGCTTACCCACCTGTTGAGGAGAAAAGACATAGAAATGAAACACATCTGGGAACGATGGAAGGTGTCCGGAAAAGTACTGGGGTTTCATTGCCCTAGAGGTGCGTTTATTGTGATGTCAGAAGCCATGGCTGCAGCACCTGGTGGAAGCTCTGCGTCAGGTCTGGGTGACTCAAGGAGAATGCGTCCTGGGGACAAGCGCCAGGGGAAAGAACCTGCTGATTTGTCCAGGGAGCATCCAAACAGGTAGTCATTATCTCAGCTGCTTTGCTGTGAGTGCATCCCTGTCACAGCATTTGGATGTTAAGTTATATGACAGTGGCTGCTCTGAGATACCCACTGGGGAACTCATGTTGGGGGACTGTCAGCTGGTTGCCTGGCCCAGAAGAAGTCACGCACTGCAATAATCTTGTCCCTATCTGCAAAGTGGGTCAATGCCATCCATTGTTCTTACCTCAGATGCATGTGTAACATGAGGGGTGGAATGCCAGAGCCCTTGGCTCAAGCACTGAATATATTATGCAGTGGTTGTGTATCATTGGTTGCAGAAAGAAATTGGGGTCAGCATCCTTCATCATTGACACATCTCCAGTGTCCACCTGCTCTTTGGAATTCCTCCTTGTCTTGCCTGATCTCTCTTTCTTGACTCACCTATTCTCTTCCCTCTCCTATTTTGCTAAGACCATTCCTCTGATCCTCTGACCTGCTTCTGTGATGCCATGAAATGCAGTGTATTGCCCTCACCTCTAGGTCTCTGCCCTGTCCTCACTCCTAAACCCGGATCCCCGACATCTCCCTGAACATCCTGCAGACTCGTAAGGTCAGCCTAGGCTTCTGCTCCACATGCCACAGTCAAAGGCATCACACTTGCGGGCACCTCTGTGCCTCCTACCATGGGCTGCTGTCGCCCTCTCTCAGATGCTGCTGGAATCGGTCCTCATTTCCACCCTCACTATTTCCCTCACTGTCAACCTTGCTTACTTTTATCTTGGACATGATTTCAGAACGTTCAAAATTAAGTATTTGTTTAGCAATCGAACCCCACCTTTCCTGTGCCTCAAACAGTCTTCCTTCTAGCGCTAACAAAGAATACTTGAATAGAGAAGCTGCTCTGGTTGTGGTTGGTTTGTGGGCTTCTGTCTCTTCCAGGAAAGCCCTGCCCATGTCTTCCTCCACTCTTGCCCCACCGTCATCCCAAGGCCCCCTGACACCAGGACCTTGAAGAGCATGGTTTGAAAATTATGCCTACCCCCATGTGACAGTTGATTGTGACACCCTCCTAAGCCATCTTCTTGTTCTTCCTTCGTCCAGAGTTATTCCTCTAAAATCCAGACCTCACAAGGCTCAAAATCCGGTTGATAATGTTGCAGTTCACAGAATGAAGCGTGGGCACCAGCCCTACTTTCAGTGTGACCCTGTATTACCTTTTCTTCTTCATGTCCCTCTATTTCCCCTGCTCCGTGCACCACGTGCGGCAGTCATGCAGGAATACTTCGATTCCCCAACCCTGTGGTTCCTGAAGCCTCCATACACTGCTTTGGCTTGAGGTGATCCTTCTGCGAGGAATAACTCTGCCCTTGTTTCTCTTCCTGGTGGAAGCCTGGTCAGTCCTCAGGTCTGTTTAGATGTTGTTGTCCCCATCTTTCTTGAACTTCCTTCTCATTATACATAATTTATTACTTCTTCCTCTTTGTTCCTACAGCAACCTGTGCATACTTTTTAAAAAAATGTACTGATCTCATTGCATTATAATTATGTTAAGGGCAGAGATGATGTCTTATTTATCTTCATGTCTCCATAGCACCCAGCCTAGTACTCCGTATACAGCAAGCATCTATTCCACATTTGTTGAATAAACAAACAACGGAATGATTGAAATCAATGAATTTGACATGCTCATTAAAGTTCACATGGGCAGGGCCCAAAGGCATCATTTCCCTCCTCTTTCACTGGTTCATCACTGTTAGGAAGGGCCAGGCTGCTGGGCTGCCTGTGTTCTAGCCTTTGTGGTATCAATCAGCAAAAACAGTGTGGTTGTGAGCATAGTGTGCTTGAGCTGTGTCTGATTCCCCATCAGCTGTTCCTTTCCCCATAGGGCCAGTTACTTTGTTCAGTCCCAGACCCTAAACTTCTGACCTGCAGCCAGAGGGATTTGAGGAGCACTGTTCAGCATTCAGTCTCTAAGCCCCATGCCGATTCCGGTAGCTGGCCTCCTGCTAGCTTTGGTTCCAACATCCCATCCTCACCTTTTGCCCTAGTTTTCCTAAGTGGGCCCTGGTTTTCATCCCAGATTTGTGTGTGTGTGTGTGTGTGTGTGTGTGTGTGTGTGTGTGAGACAGAGTTTTGCTCTTGTTGCCTGACTGGAGTGCAATGGTGCGATCTTGGCTCACCACAACCTCCGCCTCCCTGGTTCAAGAGATTCTCCTGCTTCAGCCTCCCAAGTAGCTGGGATTACAGGCATGTATCACCATGCCTGGCTAATTTTTGTATTTTTGGTAGAGATGGTGTTTTGCCGTGTTGGCCAGGCTGGTCTTGAACTCCTGACCTCAGGTAATCCACTTGCCTCAGCCTCCCAAAGTGTTGGGATTATAGATGTGACCCACCACCCCCAGCCTTGTCCTCCCAAATTTGAGGCTGTGATTGGCAGTCTGAACTGTATCCTATCACTCTAGGGCTGAAGCCCTTTCCTGGTTGAGTGGGATCCTGCTGCCGAACCCCAATCTGGGGACTGGCAGTTTGCTTCCTATTGCAAGATTTCCTGAGTGCCAACTTCTGAGCATCCCATATTTGTTGACATCTTAACACTTCCGGTTTCCTTCCATCTCAGGCCTTTGAAGATGCTGTTTCCTTTGCCTGCAACTCTGTTTGTTTTTCCACTTAAATCTCCAGCACGTCTTCTTCATGACGCCTATCCGATGTCTGCCTTCATGAGGATTTTCTCTTAGCAGCTTGCATATGTTCTCATGGCCTCCTGAGCTCCCCCTTAAAGGCAGTTATCACAGTTTTTACTATATAGTCCTGTGATCACTCATTAATGTATTTCCCATATTTCTAGACTCTAGTGAGGTCCAAGGACTGGGACCATGTCTGTTTTATTCACAATTTTTTATTGAGCCCTGTGATTAGCATGTAGCCAGTGCTTTGTACACATTATTAGATAAAGTGAATAGCTTCAGTGTGACCATACCTGTCCTTCCCACAGAAGTCAACTAGGGGTCACAGAAGTTAACTGGGGCTGTATGCAGGCATGCCCCAGATGTAATGCTCTGTCACTAATCTTCTCTGTAAGTCCACACCCAGGTACCACCTTATAAGGGATAAATCGTAAAACAAATGTACAGAATGGGGCTACAGAAATTCTCACTCAACATTCTGCCTTGTTTATTGAAAGTCTTTGGGAATGCATATTTATTACTTAATTTTCCTGGTGTAAGGAATTTGAAAGATATTATATATCATTGTACTCTGAGTTTACTGTGTTTCCTTGAACTGAGAGCCAAACATTCATCCCTTCATATTAATAGTTTCTTCTTTTAATCACACAAGAATTCTATTCCTGGCTGGGCACTGTGGCTCACGCCTATAATCCAATCACTTTGGGAGGCCAAGGCGGGGAGATCACTTGAGGCCAAGAGTTCAAGACCAGCCTGACCAACATGGCGAAACACTGTTTTTACTAAAAATACAAATATTAGCCAGGCATGGTAGCAGGTGCCTGTAATCCCAGCTACTCGGGAGGCTGAGGCAGGAGAATTACTTGAACCTGAGAGGTGGAGGCTATAGTGAACCGAGGTCGTGCCACTGCACTCCAGCCTGGGTGACAAAGTGAGACTCTGTCTCAAAAAAAAAAAAAATAAAAAGAATTGGATTTTCTTTGTTGTCTTAGCTTCTGGGGTACTTGGTGCTGAATTTCATATTTAACTGCAGTAATTACCTCTGCTCAGGTACATCTGTTCTCTGTTCTTTTTAAAGTGATTCATTTATATTTTTGGTTTGTTTTTACCATTCCATTGTGTTATGCTTAATTATCAAAGACAATTCAGACCTTTTGGATTGATATATACAAATTGATATAGTTATATATACAATATATAGCTATATAACCTATAGTTATATATTGTATTGTATAAGTTTTAATTTATATTGCATGTTGCATGCATATGATATATAACATTATATATATTATAAAACCCTAATCTTTCCTTTTTTTTATACTACAGTGACAGCAACCCATATTCCTCATTTGGATCAACTCTGGTGAGGGATGATGAAAAGAATTTATGGAGTATGCCCCATGATGTGTCCCACACAGAGGCAGATGACGACAGAACTCTGTACAATCTGATAGTTATTCGTAATCAGCAGGCCAAAGACTCAGAGGTGAGCACCTTTTGATGTCTTATTGTGTGCAGATGATGCTGTATGGCAAAATTCCTCAGAAGATCAGCTTGAAATTACAAAAAGAATGAGGGATGAGATATTTGTAATGAAGGGCAGGTACTTTAGCAGCATATATTATCACTGGTTGCTAATTATAGCTAGTCTTGATTGACCTACTTGATACACAGATAAGACGCATTTCTACTTCCTACCTTAATGGAACAAATTACACGCAAGGCAAGGCTGTTGAAGAGTGTGAAGATAGTTTGTCATCTTAAATGGCATAAACAGTCCATCTCTAATCTTTCCAGTTGTTTAGCAAGCTGCAGTTAGTTGATTCAGACTGAAGTTTGAAGGGTACTTTGCATTTATCACTAATTTTGAATAGTGAAGCCTGAATTAGTTTTTTTTTTTATTTCCTGTTTAAAGTCCTTAAATAGTGTATATTGATCAGACAGCAGTGGATCCATTATACATTTGAGATACTTCTTGTTATAAGGCTTGAACCCTCGCAATAACTCTAAATCCTAGGTTATCGATTTAAGCTGGAATATTAAAAAGGAGAGAACTCTGTATATTAAGAGAAAACAGCAAAGAGGATCATAGTTTTTTTCTCCTTTCTTTCAACAGTCGTGTTTGAGTTAGGTTTTCCGACTTCTGTGTTCATCAGCTAGCTCTGAGGAGAACCCTGTATTAAATACACCCTCCATGCTTCTTTGTATCTAGAGGAATTGAGCAGGGTAGGGAGACTTACAGTTGGGTTTAGTGCGTATGTTGCGGTGGGCGGGGGGGTGCCATACAGCTCGTCTTTTCCTTATGGAGGTTTTTTATTTTTGATAATTCATTGCTAATGATTTTTCGCCCAAAAATATACTTTAGCAGGAGGTGATAACTTTTAGAAGTGCCATGTGTCCCGGTGCTTTTATTCTGATGTGGCTTGGATGCTCAAGGGTTAGAGATGCGGATCGCAGGGTGGGGTAAGGGCAGGCAGCTGCCTCTGCTCTTGAGGCCTGGGGAAGGGTGGGCTGGGAGTTCTGCAGTGGGTGCTGTGTAACATCCCTCTAGTGGCCGAGCACCCACTACCTCTGGCTGCCCATGTCCCCAGCAAAATCCCCTCTGTGATGGGCAATACTGAAGGCAAGTCAGAAAGCCTGCTGCTGCCAAGAACCACGCTCCCTGGCTGCCCTTTCTGAGCACATAATTGGGAATGCGTGGCCTTGTTTTCTCTTTAGTGGAAAGAACAAATTCTTACACTCCTGTATTACATTAACCTATTAAGGTTTCTGCTGGTGAAAACAGAGTCAGTTCTTCTCTTTTCTTCCTCTTCGTCCCTGACTCTTCCCAAAGCAGTAACAGCAATACAGAAATAATGTATCATGTCTCTCTCTCTTTCTCACTCTGTCTCTTTCTCTCTTACTAGGGCCCCATGCAAGTGTGACAGGGGCTGGAAAAGGTATTTGGAGCTGAGTTTGGCAGCTCTTCCTAGAGGAGCTCCCGCCTTTCTGCCTGCTTATCTCTACTTTTCAAAAGACAGCAGAGGCAACATGAACTACAAAGCCCTCTTGAAAAGCACAGCTTCCAAAATGGGCCATTGCGTGTTTTTTGTGCTGGTCCTTGGGCCCGGTGTGATGCGTCCTCTAGAAGTCCCCTCCTTCTCCCCCTCCTCCTCCTTTTTTTTTTTTTTTTTTAATTATGCTTTAAGCTCTGGCATACATGTGCAGAATGCGCAGGTTTGTTACATAGGTATACACATGCCATGGTGGTTTGCTGCTGCACCCATCAACCTGTCATCTACTTTAGGTATTTCTCCTAATGCAATCCCTCCCCTTTCTCTCAACCCCCCAACAGGCCCTGGTATGGGATGTTCCCCTCCCTGTGCCCATATGTTCTCATTGTTCAGCTCCCACTTATGAATGAGAACATGCAGTGTTTGGTTTTCTCTTCCTGTGTTAGTTTGCTGAGAATGATGGTTTCCAGCTTCATCCATGTTCCAGCAAAGGACATGAACTCATCCTTTTTTTTATGGCTGCATAGTATTCTATGGTGTTTATGTGCCACATTTTCTTCATCCATTCTATTATTGATGGGCACTTGGGTTGGTTCCAAGTCTTTACTATTGTAAACTGTGCTGCAATAAATATATGTGCATGTGTCTTTATAGTAGAATGATTTATAATCCTTTGGGTACATACCCAGTAATGGGATGGCTGGGGTCAAATGGTATTTCCGGTTCTAGATTCTTGAAGAATCACCACATTATCTTCCACAATGGCTGAACTAATTTATACTCCCATCAACAGTGTAAAAGCATTCCTATTTCTCCACATCCTCTCCAGCACTATTGTTTCCTGACTTTTTCATGATCACCATTCTAACTGGCATAAGATGGTATCTCAATGTGCTTTTGATTTGCTTTTCTCTAATGATGAGTGACGATGAGCTTTTTTTATGTTTGTTGGCCGCATAAATGTCTTCTTTTGAGAATTGTCTGTTATAATTTTTGCCCGCTTTTTGACGGGGTTTTTTCTTGTAAATTTTTTAAGTACTTTGTTGATTCTGGATATTAGCCCTTTGTCTAATGGATAAATTGCAACATTTTTCTCCCATTCTGTAGGTTGCCTGTTCACTCTGATGATTGTTTCTTTTGCTGTGCAGAAGCTCTTTAGTTTAATTAGATCCCATTTGTCAATTTTGGCTTTTGTTGCCATTGCTTTTGGTATTTTAATTATGAAGTTTTTGCCCATGCCTATGTCCTGAATGGTATTTCCCTAGGTTTTCTTTTAGGGTTTTTATAATTTTAGGTCTTACATTTAAGTCTTTAACTTATCTGGGGTTAATTTTTGTATAAAGTGTAAGTAAAGGGTCCAGTTTCAGTTTTCTGCATGTGGTTAGCCAGTTTTCTTAACACCATTTATTAAATAATGTTGGGAAAAATTTTCCCCATTGCTCTGTCAGGTTTGTCAAAGATCAGATGGTTGTAGATGTGTGGCATTGTTTTTGAGGCCTCTGTTCTGTTCCATTGGCCTATACGTGTGTTTTGGGTCCAGTACCATACTGTTTGGTTACTGTAGACTTGTAGTATAGTTTGAAGTCAGGTAGCATGATACCTCCAGCTTTGTTCTTTTTGCTTAGGATTATCTTGGCTATACGAGCTCTTTTTTGGTTCCATAAGAAATTTAAAGTAATTTTTTCTAATTCTGTGAAGAAAGTCAATGGTAGCTTGATGGGGATAGCATTGAATCTATAAATTACTTTGGGCAGTGTGGCCATTTTCACAATATTGATTCTTCCTAACCAGGAGCATGGAATGTTTTTCCGTCTGTTCGTGTTCTCTCTTATTTCATTGAGCAGTGGTTTGTAGTTCTCCTTGAAGAGGTCCTTCACATCCCTTGTTAGTTGTATTCCTAGGTATTTTATTGTCTCTGTTACAATTGTGAATGAGAGTTCACTCATGATTTGGCTGTCTATTATTGGTGTATGGGAGTGCTTGTGATTTTTGCACATTGATTTTGTATCCTGAGACTTTCCTGAAGTTGCTTATAAGCTTAAGAAGATTTTGGGCTGAGACGATGAGGTTTTCTAAGTATACAATCATGTCATCTGCAAACAGAGACAGTTTGACTTCCTCTCTTCCTATTTGAATAACCTTTATTTCTTTCTCTTGCCTGATTGCCCTGGCCAGAATTTCTAATACTATGTTAAATAGGAGTGGTGAGAGAGGCGTCCTTGTCTTGTGCCAGTTTTCAAAGGGAGTGCTTCTAGCTTTTGCCCATTCAGTATGCCATTGGCTGTGGGTTTGTCATAAATAGCTCTATTATTTTGAGATATGTTCTATCAATACCTAGTTTATTGACAGTTTAGGGTGTTGAATTTTATCGAAAGCTTTTTCTGCATCTATTGAGATAATCATATGGTTTTTGTCATTGGTTCTGTTTATGTATGGATTACTTTTATTGATTTGTGTACGTTGAGCCAGCTTTGCATCCCAGCGATGAAGCTGACTTGGTTGTGGAGTATAAGCTTTTTGATGTGCTGCTGGATTTGGTTTGCCAGTATTTTATTGAGGATTTTCACAACAATTTCAGGGATACTGGCTTGAAATTTTCTTTTTTTGTGTCTCTGCCAGGTTTTGGTATCAGAATGATGCTGGCCTCACAAAATGAGTTAGAGAGGAGTCCTTCTTTTTCTGTTGTTTGAAATAGTTTTAGAAGGAATGGTACCAGCTCCTCTTTGTACCTCTGGTAGAAATCAGCTATGAAACTGCCTGGTCCTGGGCTTTTTTTGGCTAGGGCTATTAATTTTCAGAACTTGTTATTGGTCTATTCAGGGATTCAGCTTCTCCCTCATTTTCTTGGGAGGGTGTATATGTCCAGGAATTTATCCACTTCTTCTGGATTTTCCAGTTTATTTGTGTAGAGGTTGTTCATAGTATTCTCTGATGGTCTTTTGTATTTCTGTGGGACAAGTGGTGATATCCCCTTTATCATTTTTTAAATTGCATCTATTTGATTCTTCTCTCTTTTTTTCTTTATTAGTCTGACTAGCAGTCTACATATTTTGTTAATCTTTTCAAAAAACCATCCCCTAGATTCACTGATTTTTTTAGAAGGGGTTTTCTTGTCTCTGCTTCCTTCAGTTCTGCTCTGATCTTAGTTATTTCTTTTCTTCTGCTAGTTTTTGAATTTGTTTGCTCTTGCTTCTCTTGTTCTTTTAATTGTGATGTTAGGGTGTTGATTTTAGATCTTTCCTGCTTTCTCCTGCGGGCATTTAGTGCTATAAATTTCCCTCTATACACTGCTTTAAATATGTCCCAGAGATCCTGGTACATTGTGTCTTTGTTCTGATTGGTTTCAAAGAACTTATTTATTTCTGCCTTAATTTTATTATTTACCCAGTAGTCACTCAGGAGTAGTGTTCAGTTTTCCTGTAGCTGTGCGATTTTATTAATCCTGAGTTCTAATTTGATTGCACTGTGATTTGAGAGACTGTTTGTTATGATT